ATTGACATCGGCCAGCGCGCCGGTGGTGCGACAGGGCGGTTCGACAAAACAAAACAAAAACCAGAGAATAAACACACGAGTACCATGGAAATGCAAACGGCGCAGTCGCCGGCGCCGGCAACGCCAGTGTAAACTTTGCACATCACGCAAGTGTGCAACTTCAGTTAGACACCATGTAATGTTTAAAATCATGACCTGCACACGTTGTGAGCAAATTTTGAACACTTGTTTTACCAGTATATTATCGAAAGAGAAGCTGTAATGGTTGGTATCGAGCGGTATCGAGTTTTTCTCGTGTTCAGCTCGGGTAAGCCCTCGCCTCTGTGTGGTGATCGGCAAGTAATCCGTGTTGTCGTTTTATTATACAAGATTCCTAATTGCACGATCGCACGTATGCAAGTAAAAGTGGAGTTCTGGCCTGCCTATTGCTGGTATAACTCACTACTCACCCACTTTACCCAACTCCACCCACATCACCCAACTCCATACCCACAACACCCAACCATCCATACCCACATCACCCAACCATCCATACCCACATCACCCAAACTCCATACCCACAACACCCCCACCCACTCGAGCCACACGCCACACACACACGGTCTCTATGCTGCAGCTGCAGACGATAGTTTATGTACTCGTCCAATCATCGCAGCAGAGCGACCCAGTCCCCCCCCCCCCCCCCGACGGAGGGACCTCGCCACCCATGGACCCGCAGAGCAGAGCGGAGCCACCAAATGGGATATTGCTCCGCCGACATGAGGACCAGCCCGATGATGATACGGTCCCCTGTGTGGGTAAGAGGGCGAGGGGGTAAGAGGGGGAGGGGGGCACCGTATGCATCACATGCCCACGTCGCTACGACCGCCGCCGACGGTCAGGCGACTGTATACCGACTATAAACTGCACGACATTCCCACACACTCTCTCTCTCTCTCACACACACACAAGTCCTCGCACTCACACATACTCACCCGCCGTCATTAGCAGCTGGAGAGTGTATACACCGCAACAACATCCCCAACGGTTTTATTTTCCCCCACAGCGGTTTTCTTTTTACATTTCTTTTTCAGCTCTTTTCTGCGCCCTAGATCTCGTTTTTCAGCCCATGGTGAGGGGTCGGTTGCATGTTGCACCGCGGTGAGGGCGCAGCGCGGCGGCAGGGGAGAGCCGGGGAGAGCCGGGGAGAGCCCTTCACCACGCGCGCTGCGCCCCACCGCGCCCCACCCCGGAGAGACGCCGCTGCGGCCGACAGCGTACCGGAGGAGAGAAACCAGAGGCCGACGGGGGTCGGGATTCCCCACTCGCATCAAATAAACTGTCCGCGAAAACATTATTCCGTCACTTGAAAGAGTGCGCCAACGTGGCAAAGAAGTGTGTTGCGGCGGTGTGACACTGTTGTGGCAAACCTCTTCTCCGAGTTGAGTACGACTTTCAAGTGAAGTGATAATGGCCCCGGGCTCTAATGTGTGGAGCGACCCCACAGCAATTGAGCGTGTGTGAGTGTGAGTGTGAGTGTGAGTGTGTGTGTGTCGAGGCTGGTCGCCCGGGCCGGGCGAGTGCTTGAGGCTGGATGTGGCACATGCTGTCGGGCTGGTCAGGGCAGTTAAGCCCTTTGGAGCGTCCAGGGCAGCAGAGCGATAGTGTCCGGAAGTAATGATCGCACCCCAACCCCGACCCGGCCCGAGTGTCTGTCTCACTCGCACCGCTCAGTGGGGGGTGAGTGAAGGACAGCAACCACCCTCTCTCTCTCTCTCTCCCTCTCGCACGGGACGACGCAGCCTGACCTTAACCGTTCGCGTCTCTCTCCGGCCCAACACGTCTCCGCCGCAGTCCTTGCACATCTATCTCACGTCTCGATTCCGCCGCAGACATAGCGCAAATTTTTGTTGTGATAATTCCAAATGATTGCTCAGAAATAATAAAACTCCATTCAAACTTCGGGAAAAAAAATCAGACAAGAATCGATCTTGAAAGCAGATGACACAAATTTAAGAGGATGGCCGTGCTCTAGTTTCCTCCGATCTTACACTGGAAATGCAAGTGTGTGAATGTCACTCACCTGCAGGTGAGCGACATTCCATTCATACACTTACGGGGGTAAAGGTGTGAATTTTTGTAAGGTATCATCTGTTTTTACTTTCAACAGTGTGCGTACACGCCACTGCGCACTCCACTGCCGTGGGGCCTTTCTCCTCCTCCTCCTCCTGGCACGGTAGAGAGCCAAAAGCGCGCTCTCCAACATCTCCCTCCGCCGAGCCGAGCCTGACCGCCGGGGCCGAGGGGCCGCAGCCGGAGGGGAGCCGAAGGTGAGCCGAAGGGGAGCCGAAGGGGAGCCGAAGGGGAGCCGAAGGGGAGCCGAAGGGGAGCCGAAGGGGAGCCGGAGGGGAGCCGGAGGGGAGCCGGAGGGGAGCCGGAGGGGAGCCGGAGGGGAGCCGGAGGGGAGCCGGAGGGGAGCCGGAGGGGAG